ACCAGATGGAGAGGTAGTGGATTCATTTCCATGTGCGATATCTGGGGGTTCAGTCACAAAATTAGAAGGCCCAATGGAAACAGAACTGCATATGGATAAACCGTGGCCTGGGCTAATAGACTGGTTTTTTGAATCAGGCTTAGAGGAGTGAGAGATGGGTTGTTCATCCTTCTTTAAAGGAGGTGTCTCTGATCCACAGAAATTAAATGGGCACTAGCTGTGCCAATGGTCACTGTTGAGCCTGGAGCTAGAAATTGTGTGCACGACTCTGTACAGGAGTAAGTGGTGACCAGGGTAGTGCTAGTATTCTCTCATGGGTCATGCGTGACAGCTTCACGTGTCGCCACACGCGCCGTCGTTTGGGTAAACTGTTTAGAGGCATTCCTTCGACGATGATTGGGGCGGATTAAGCTTGGGATTCAAACTCCTCAGACTGGCCGACGGTATTTTCTTGGCCAGCCACCTAAACTCTTGGCCATCCTCGATCGCAGTTCTGGGCCATAACCTGAATCTTTCCCTTGCTCCTTGGATACATACTTGCACGTATTCTTATCGTGACCTAGGCGGCCACAATCATAACAAATCTCATATTTGAAGGAGATCCAAGTATCATTGCCCTCCTGATTCCTTTTTAGCCATAGGCCTTTAGGGAGAGGTTCATTGGTGTTGATCTCCGCCCGAATTTTGAGAAAGCTACGATAGAGCAAGAGTCCTTCCTTATGAGCTTCACCATTATCAATCTTCCAATATGGTTTCACCACTCTTTTTAGTCATATTGTGAAAAGGTAAGTGTTACGACCCAACCCCGCTTGAAGGGATTAGTGAAGTGATTGATCAGTAATCCGACATTACCATAAGCCTTCTTAAACATACACATAATTATAGAGGTTTGCAGAAGCAAATATGTTAAACTAAATCGTCCAACGAATTGTGCAGACTTATATGAGACAGAGAAATTTACATATTTATATACATATATATTCGTATAATCATTCAAAAGAACACAGAATCCAATCTGTCATAAAGGGATAAACCCTACATACAAAAACATTGTTCTCATTTTCAAAACAATTTCATTACATAGTAAGAGGCCAACTCCCCAGCTTATGAAGCCTTGACACTTGACATTTCTGGAACCTCTACGTGAGGCACAAAAGTTGGCTTTGCAAAACAAAAATCCAAACAGACAACTCTAGGCTTGGTCTTGCGCTTAATCACCTACATATATATATATATATATATATATAAGGTGAGCTGGAGCCTAATAAATAATCACAGAGTAAAGGGTTAATGAATAATCTCCCATAATATAAATTTTCAAATTCAGAGTTTCAGATCATAACATAATCAGATACATATTCAGACTTGTAATCATGCGTACGTGGTATATCCATTAGCTAACAGAGCAGATGGTCGTATAAGACCTATTCAGATCAGACAAATGATTATGCATAATCCAGACAAATAACCATTAAGGTTTAACAAACAATTCCAAGAGTTGGAACCCACAAAGATCTCTGATAACAGATAACAGATATAGATGATAAGAATACCATAATTACATTTTAGAAAATGGACAATTATTCATTCATTCATAAAATATCAATTCAGAAACATCATATAAATTGTAAATCAGAAAAATACTTGTAATTAAGCATAGCTTTAAAGAGTTGTTACTCACAAATGGCTCCTTAGACAAATTGAGTAGAACGAAGCGTGTGACCTACACAAACACATAACAGAGCTGGATTGAAACACACGTCCCCAAACTATGTCTTATCTAATTCAGTCCTCTCTTAGTGTGTTTCTCACTCTTTTCCTTATTATCATTGTCCAAATAATAGCCTCAAAATGCCTATGGATGTAAGAGGATGAAAGTGTGCATTTGGAAATGTATTTCAAAAATGCTGAAAATAGGGTAGTTCGTTCGAGCACAACTTTGGTTACTCGAACGGTCTACAAAACTCTGTAAAACTTTTGGATGTAGAAATTCTAGGCTCGGTCCACATGCAATGTAAAGCTGAGTTTGCTCAAGCGTACACTTAGTCGCTCGAGCCAACTGCTAATCCCTGCAAAAATACTAAGAGCATGCAAAGTGCGCTCGAGCGATATGACCAGATTCTGGAATTTCCATAATGCAATTTGAACTCCAAAAAACATATTGAAGGTCCACAATTCATGCATGACATACTCTTATGTTCAAATACACAACCAAAAATATGGATACTAACTCAATTGGCAAAATTAAAGCTTAAAACTTTGAGAATTCACCATGCATGTACTAATTTGACTTTAATTCTTTTCCTAGACTTGAAAGCCATGCAATTGAGCTTCAAATTTTCATAATTCATGGATGCATGTGTGATATGATTCTCATGTCATACCTTAGTAGCATGAAACAAACTCAAATTGATGAAACTAGCCAAAATTATGCATACATGCAAGTATTGACTCCAAATTCTTCATTTTAGTTTCATTTCTTACATTTAATCACACACTTTTCTTGAATTCTCAAATTAAATGACTTAAACTCTTGAATTAGGGTTCATATATTTCTCTATGATCTTATACATTCATAGTGCAGAGCACTTGTTTTTATAGGGTTCTATTTATAAAGTTTGAATGCCTAGTAATGCATAACAAAACTCAAATTCTCAATTCTTGAACAAGCAGCTCAAATTTAGGGATCATCCAGCAGCAAATGAGGCAGCACTATAACTGGTAAAAAATGACAAGTTGAAAGAGGCAAGGGTTGAGCATGATGGAACTTGGACAGCAAAATATTTACTGCACATTTAACATTCAAAAAATGCTTACCATATTAAGAATTAAACAAACAATTGGGCCAAATAATTCTTTGATTTGAAATGAACTAGACAATTCTCCAAGGGTGATAGGAATTGAGCTAAGAAGTAACATAAAAATCAATTTGAACTCAGTTTCTATACTGCTTTTAGAGTTTAATCTAATATTGATACTTTCAAATTAGCTCATATATCCCATCTAAAAAAACTTAGCTCATATTCACCACAACATAACAAACTATGATATAATTTAAATATAAATTTTAAATTTATTATTATCAAATGCTTATTAATTGACCAATCAATTTTTAGACGAGATCCAAAATTAGAACTAGAACTTATTTTATAGTTCAAACTGACTAGATCTTAGATAGTTCTTTCATACATAATAAATATTCATACAATAGTTTATACATAAATATATACAATTTTTACACAAGTTTAAAAATTAAAACAAATAACATGTTTATATTTCTTATTTTTATTATAAAAAAGTACTAATAGATATGTATATATCAATTTAATAAGGGATAAATTAGAAATACACCCTTGAGATTTAATTAAAATATAAATCGCCCATGTGATTTTGAAAATTACATCCCACCCCCTGAGGTTCCTAATTTCATAACAAATCGTCCATTTTATTAATAAATCATCAAGTCAATTAATAATTTTTAATGATGTTAAAAATATGTTTCAATTAATATTTTAGATAATTTTATTATTGTATAGGAGAGCAATTATGAATTTCATTTTTTTAATTATTTTTGTTAAATAAAAAATTCTAATAAGGATCTGTAATTTTTCAAACCATAGAGGGGGCCAATCTGTATTTTAAACAAACCTTAGGAGGTGTATTTGTAATTTAACCTTTAATAAGTAAACGAGTCAAGTAATTCATGAGTTGGGTATTGATTAAGACAAATTTTTTATAATTAGGTAAAGTCAAGTTGGCATAAAAGTCGAATCAATTAGTTTTTAGGTCACTTTTAATGTCTACCACAACTCTAACTCCAAAAACTAACCATTATCTATTTTATATGACATAAGACAAATTATAATTTTTAAACAATAGTAAACAAATTTTTCCACTTTACAAAATAGACAAAGGATACATTTGTGATTTACCATGTCATGGGATGAATTTTGACATAGGATAAACTAGAATTACAAAACCCAGGACGAAATCTATTCATTTTTTATGTGAATGTAGCTTTTGTAATTTATCATTTCAAATAATATATTGCATATTTACCAACAAAAAACAAGCCCTAATATGTTACTCTGTCCTTTTAGTTCCTTCTCAAATAATATATTGCATATTTACCAACAAAAAACAAGCCCTAATATGTTACTCTGTCCTTTTAGTTCCTTCTCAAATAATATATTGCATATTTACCAACAAAAAACAAGCCCTAATATGTTACTCTGTCCTTTTAGTTCCTTCTCAAATAATATATTGCATATTTACCAACAAAAAACAAGCCCTAATATGTTACTCTGTCCTTTTAGTTCCTTCTCAAATAATATATTGCATATTTACCAACAAAAAACAAGCCCTAATATGTTACTCTGTCCTTTTAGTTCCTTCTCAAATAATATATTGCATATTTACCAACAAAAAACAAGCCCTAATATGTTACTCTGTCCTTTTAGTTCCTTCTCAAATAATATATTGCATATTTACCAACAAAAAACAAGCCCTAATATGTTACTCTGTCCTTTTAGTTCCTTCTCAAATAATATATTGCATATTTACCAACAAAAAACAAGCCCTAATATGTTACTCTGTCCTTTTAGTTCCTTCTCAACAATTAGGATTGCTGACTTTTGTCCTTTTTTATATGTTGTGTGTGCATGCAGTGGGGAAGAGTGTATTAAAAATTAATAATAAATAAATAAATAAATAAAAAGCAAAGTTACTATTGAATTAACAATAGAATCCAAAATATTTGACCCTGAGCATAGAACAAAAAGAAAGTTGGTTGGGCAATCATATTTATGCCATGTATATGTGGATTTGTTCTATCATACAATTTTTTTCTATTAAAAATATGCTATCACATGCACATCTGCAGGTCCTATAAAAATGTCAACCTAAAAAGATTTTGCCATCAAATTAGGTCACAAAAGCACACTTATCCATTGACTTACAGAAATTGATGAAGCAAATTTTAGTGTGAAATGCACCATCTCGCTACTGCATATTAGCAGATTTCCTAGTTTACCATGCACCACAATATCCTTACTTGAAGTATTGACCAATAAAACATTGGTTACTATTGTTTTTACCATCAGTTCAATTTAGATTGTCACAGATTTGATATTGAGAGAAATATCTCAACAAGTGTGCAATACCAAAGCAGGCCAGATGACAACAAATCATGCTCCATATCATTTACAAATAAATTTTTGATAGTGGAGAAGCTTAGATGACAAAATTATACTGCTCATGTCCATGGACCAATCAATTGATGTAATAAAACAAAAACTACTCTCATTCCACACCATGGTAAAAGATAATGAAAATGATAAAATGAAAGTTGTTAATATTATTGACTTCATCAAACTTGATACTATAGGCAAAATGTGTCAATAAAATAATAGTTTATTCCCCCCATCAAAAATAAGTGCACAAATCCAAGTACTTGGAATTTTTCCCAATAAATTTATGAAATGGAGCCAGTAGTTATAATATTCTAAGATTCCATTCAGCATTAGGGTTAATGTATGTAACTAGTAGATAAACTACAAGGGATAGACCAGACCATAGTAAAAGATAATGCACATGATAAAATGGAAATAAGTTCGTCAAACTAAAATTTCTGGGAAACCTGTTTCGTCAAACTACAAGGGATAGACCAGACCATATTAAGTGATCTTTCACACACCTGAGTATTTCATTAGGGCCATTCAACAACAAAAAGGTGATTGGTTGGAGACCCAAGCAGCAGACTAGGAACAATAGCTAGATGGACTACAATTGAATAAACATTGAATTAATAAACTTGAAGAACCACTTACCACGAGACTGCCATCCTCCATAACAGAAGTATAGCGTAACAAGCAGAAATCACGAGCAGCTGCCAAAGTTGTTGGTGCGTAGAGCTAAGAAATCAGCAAATATTTCAAATTCCATTAAGCAGTTATATCATAACACAAGTACTCCATCATACAATATGAGAATAGAACAATTAATACTACCTGCATGTAAAGCAGCTCAATGGTTCCACCATTAGCGGTAGGCAGCACATTTAGAACATCCACAGCTCGGCAATCGCGATACCACGAAGGCCGATCCTTAAGGATTTCTGCAACCTGGAAGTAGCGAAGCATAACCAATAAATGCTTCACATAAACTCCACAACTACTACAAAAAAGAAGAAAGAAGGGGGAGACTATCGTACCCTTGTAGGCTCTAAACCCACCAGGCCGCAAGCACGCGTTGCCACACCAGTGCAACCATGAGAAATAGCAACGATTCCAATGGAATCCGGACCAGGCTAAGCATAAGAGAAAGCAGTTTGTTCAGAAAGAGACCAATCATCAACTCGGTTTTTAACATAACAAATGGCATTATTAACCCTGTCAATACCATGAGTAAATACAAAACAAAAAAGCTAGGGACCCAGACATATCCACCTAGAAAATTATGAATGAGTGATTGTGTGGGGGAAATTAATTTTTTTTGGGGTAGGGTTCATGTATAGAATAAATTTCAACCACAAACTGATAATTATGGGTAATTTTTGGATAGTTAAATCTGGGTTTGTAATATTATTGAATACAAAATTAAAAAGGGCAAATCAAATTTTCTTGTAAAACCAGACGAGCATGGTTTTAAATAACAGTATTGAAATATATATCAATATCGGTGATACGGTTATATATCAATTAATACCAAATACTATCAACCTATATATTGATATATAGCGGTATCATACCCACCAAGTCTGATGACTGCTCTCCATAACCTAACTCACATATACAAGAAACATTAGTGCAAATCAGGAAGCACCCAAAAAATTAAAGCAAGCAAATTTGACAATTAGGGTCACTCATAACTCACTTGAGGCAATTTAATGGCTCTCCATAAAATCTTGGGGGTTTGAATTCCAAGCACCTCGAAAATGGGAAACAATGCACAAGATTGTGAGCAAAATGTCTTTGTAAGTCTAAGGAATGGAGGCAAAGGTCTTTTAGTTTATACAAATTACAATACACATTTCATGAGAAGAAAAAAAAAAAAAAAACATGATATTTATCTTTAAAATTTGAATATGCCATGCCTTTAGCTCATTGGGTTGGGATCATATATTTCCAAGCTAGGGAGGGATTTAGGAGATAAATGGCAGGAGAAGTTGAAAGTATATACAACTGAATTCTGATCTCATTACCCTGAATTAGACATGCTGCTAGTTTAGTTTTCCACATCTTTTTTATGCTTCAAGAGTCAAAAATCTTTTTTTTCTTCTTTTTTCATTTTTAAGATTTTCTGCGCATGGGCTCAGCTAGTGTTCCATGGGCCTTCTTTTGTGTCACATTATTGTGTTTTTATACATGATCCTTAGTTTATTACTTTGTTTAGATCAATTCTGTAACTCAATTACCTTAGGGGTCGTTTCTTAGTGTTGTCTTCATGCTGAATACCATATACTCTTAATGCAAAAGAAAGGCACTTAACTCTTGAAAGAATCACCAAGGAATTGCAAGCTAACGGTTAAAAGGTTCCTGAATGAAAGAAATGTAACTCCATTTAGAGATTAAATGGTTATGGTCAGTGTTGATATATAGGGATAAAGATGGTAGGATACTCACAATGACGTAATTTTTGGTGAATTGTTACCATTGTAGCTGCAATTTACATTATTCCATGAAGAATTCATTGGCTTGCACGGATCTCCTTGCCAATTTTTCTTCACCCGATACGTCAATGAGATATTCACCATAGCGTCAACTAATATTTTAGAAGGTAAAAAGAGAATGATATGAAACAAGTTAAGCCGAGTAGAGGAGAATGAAACAAGAGCAGATGAAAAGCAGTATAGATGAGAAAAACTAACATGGTGTTTGTGCAAATTAATTTCAAATGAGTGTTGATTTGTAAAAATTAAGAACCCGACATGGAGAAGTTATTACAAGCAATAAAATTCTGCAAAACTAAGAAACCTGTAGTCATTATTGCTCAGGGAGTCAATTGCGAAAAATGTATCGATCTGCACCGAAATACAAATCTCGAACAAGAATCGAAATTCAAAACATGGAACACATACAGTAATAAATTACGAATCGAACCCAGGTCTGGAAAAGTGTTCTTCCGAATGTTCACATTGAATAAACACATCGGATACAAAAAATTATTCAAATTACGAAGAAATTAAACAAATGAGAGCGATGCGAATAAAAAGTTGAATCAATTAAACAAAAAAATTCAACAGAACAATTGAATCAATGAAGTAACCTTCAGATCAGCGAACGAAGCAGAGACATTCGGGATCTGTAAATTGTGGATCTTAGATCTGCTAATAGAAGTTGTGTATATGTGTGTATGTAATTTCGAAACACACACAGAGAGAGAGAGAGAGAGAGAGAGGGAGAGAGAACCTGCTTGCTTGTGAAGGACTAACAGACTGATAGCGCGAGACAGAGAGGGAGAGAGAACCTGTGATCTGCGGCGGTGGCGGTGGTGATTTGCGGCTGCGGCGGTGGCGATGTGCGACGTACGGTGAGCGACTGTGGTGAGGGACTGTGCTGAGATGAGGTGGGGTGAGGTTTGGTGGTGATGTGTGAGAGAGAGGACTTTTGTGTTTGTTCAAAACGAGAATGGAAGAGGGCGTGAATATTAAAAGTAATTTCCCCCGCAAAGTTTTAGACCAATTTAGCGACTAAATTGGTTATTTGTCGCCAAATAACGCATATAAATCTAAAACTTCCTATAGCTAGAACTTTTCGTAAAAAAAACTTTTAAAAAATCCCTATATACCAAAAATACTAAAATTCAATATATTTTTCGTATTTTATGTATTTATTAATTTTTAAAAATGTTTTTTTACAATATTTTACTTTTTAGATACATTTAAGTAAGATAGATCTAAAAAAGTAAAAAAAAAATACTTACAATTTTTAAAATATTCACTTAAAAAAAACCCGAAAAACAAAATATTCAGTGGCGATGGTAGGGGAGAGATAATAGTAGTAGTAGTGGTGGTAGTGGTAGTGGAGTGGTAACGATGGTGGTAGGAATGGTAGTCGTAGAGGTGGAGTGGCAACAATGGTAATAATGTTGGTAGTGGAATGATATTTGCAGTAGTAGTGAATGTGGTAGAGGAGATGGGTAGTGAAAGAGAGATGAATGAGAGACAGACAGAGAAGAGAGATAAAGAGAGAGAGACAGATAGAGAAGAGAGATAAGGTGATGAGAGAGAGAGAGAGAGAGAGAGAGAGACAAAATGGTCGCTAAAAGTGCATTTTCTTGTAGTGGAGAGCTCGGTAAATAGAAAATATGGGAGGGAGAGAGTGGGCAAGATGAACACAATGGAGGAGAGAGAGAGAGACAGATACACAGAGAGAAATAAAGAGAGAAGGGTGATGAGTGAGAGAGAGACAGACAGACACATAAAGAGAAAGAGGGAGAGAAGAGTAATGAGTGAGAGAGAGAAAGAGAGAGATATATATATAGAGAGAGAGAGAGGGGGAGAAAAAAAGAGATAGAGAGACAGACAGACAGACAGACAGATGAGTGAGTGAGTGAGAGAGAGAGAGAGAGAGAGAAGAGTGAAAGACAGACATAGAGAGAGAAAGTGAGAAAGAAGAGTGATGAGTGAGAAAGAGATAGAGACATAGACAGAAAGAAATAAGAGATGAGTTAGAGATAGACAAAGAGAGAGAGAAAGAGAGCGAAAAGAGATGATCGAGAGAAAGACATAGAAAAAGAGAGAGATAGAAAGAGAAGAAAGATGAGCATGAGAGACAGAGAGAGACAGAGAAGATAGACGAGTGAGAGAGATAGAGAAAGAAAAAAGATGAGAGAGATAAAGAGAAGAGAGATGAGCGAGAGACAAAGAGAAAAAGAGACAGAGACAAAGACAGACAGACAGAGAAGAATGATGAGTGAGAGAGAGAAAAAGAAGAGAAGACAAAAGAGAAAAAGAGCATAGAGACTGAGAGACAAAAAAAGAGAAGAGAGAGAAAGCAAGAGAGACAGAGTAGAGAAAGAGAGAGAGAGAAATAGACAAAGAGGGAAAGAGGACAGAAAAAGATGACAGAGAGAGATGAGAGATGAATAGAGAAATAGAGAGATGAACGAAGAGACAGAGAGAGAGATTAGAGAAAAGATATGAGCGGAGAGAGACAGAGAGAGAGAGAAAAGAGATGAACGAGAGAGACAAAGAGAGAAGAGAGATGAGACAGAGATGCGAGAGAGCTCAAGAATAAAGATGAACAAGATAGATAGAGAGAAGAGAGATGAACCAAAGAGACAGAGAGAGAAGAGAGATAGAGAGAGAAGAGAGATAGAGAGAGAGATAGAGAGAGAGACAGAGAGAGAAGAGAGATAGAGAGAAAAGAGAGATAGAGAGAGAGAGCAAGAGACAAAGACAGAGGCAGAGACAGAGTAGGAAAGAGAAAGAGACAGAGAGAAACAAGAGATGAATAAGAGATAAACAAAGAGAGAGAAAGAGAGTGAAAAGAGATGATCGAGAGAAATACATAGAAAAAGAAAGAGGTAAAGAGAGAAGAAAGATGAGTAGGAAAGACAGAGAGTGAGATAGAAAAAAGATAGATGAATAAGAGAGATAGAGAAAGAAAAAAGATGAGAGAGATAGAGCGAAGAGAGATGAGCGATAAACAAAGAGAAAAAGAGACAAAGACAGAAAGATAGAGAAGAGTGATGAGTGAGAGAGAGAAAAAGAAGAGAGACAGAGATAGAGACACCGAGAGAAAAAGAGAGACAGATAGATAGAAAGAAAGAGAAAGAGTAATGAGCGAAAGTAAATTTTTATTTTTCTTTCAGCGACGAAAATATTTTAGTTGCCAAAACTATATATACCGCGACCAAACTAATTTTTAGTCGCTGAAATTAAAATTTTGCCGACCAAACTTTTGGTCGCGAAAGATAAAAAATAATTTTTTATTTTTCTTTCAGAGATGCACGAGAGAGACAAAGAGAGAGAGATAGAGAGAAGAGATATGAGCGAGAGAGACAGGGAGAGAGAGAGAGAAAAGAGATGAACGAGAGAGACAAAGAGAGAAGAGAGATGAGACAGAGATGCGAGAGAGCTCAAGAATAAAGATGAACAAGATAGATAGAGAGAAGAGAGAT